TTAACCACCAAAAAGCCAGAAGTGGAGCTTTGGCTCAAGTGGTAGTGTACTAGTCTTGAACACAATAGCTCAGGACAGTGCCTGAGTCTTGAGTTCAAGCCCCAGAACCAGAACACACCCACACAAGGAATGTATTTAGAGATTAATTTTGAATGTTTTAGATTTTGATCACAAATGACTAATGAATAGATGATAACACTGTTCATACATGGCTTCTGGATACTTACGCGCATTGCAAGCAGCATGCACAGTTGAGAACTTTTATTCCTAAAGCTCAGGAATTAAAAACATGTAATTGACTAGAAATCCTCAACGGATTGAAGATAATTTTTTTTCTATTTGGTTTGCTTTCTTTTTGCAGTTCTGGAGGCCAAACTCAGGGTCTTGTGCATGCCAAGCTAATTTCTCATTAGTTCCTCAGGTATCATAAACATAAATTGAATGAAGGTTAACTACCACAAAAATATGAGTTGGTAATTAGTAAATAAATTAGTAGGTTTTTTTAAAAGATTAAATTTTGCCTTAAAGGAACAATGTAATTCTAAGAACAATGTAATTCTAAGAATAGGCTTCAGGGGGCTGGGAAGGTGGCTCAGTGGTAGAGTGCTCGCCTTGCATGCATGAGGCCCTGGGTTTGATTCCTCAGCACCACATAAGCAGAAAAAGTCGGAATTGGCGCTGTGGCTCAAGTGGTAGAGTGCTTGCCTTGAGCTGAAGAGCTGAGGGACAGCACCTAGTACCAGAGTTCAAGCCCCATGACCAACAACAACAACAACAAAAAGAATAGGCTTCAGTTTTAGTACCCTTTCTCTTAGGGTTTGGTCTCATTTACAGTCTTAATATTTGTTTTATAAGCCTTTATTGACTTTGTGTACTAACAAGGCATTGTGTTTATGCAGCTATCTATTAAAGATTAATAAGTTTAATGAGTAGCACATGAATAGTGTTGATCCAAATGAACCATGCATTATTTTGCTCAGATGTCACAGATTCCTTAATTTGGGAGATCTTCCAGAGTTATTTTTTTAGGTGAAATAAATACAACTCACCAGTACAAATACAGTCTTTTAACTTATTTGTTTTGTAAAATGGCCTAATAGTGTCATTTTTATTATACTGAATTTCTTTAGTATCTGTACATTCATCCTGTTATCTCCAGTAATATTATGATTTATTGCTTTTAGTGTCATTTTGGAGGAATCATGTTATAAATAAGCTAAGATGCCACATTTATTAAAGAAATATAATCTACTCAGTTAAGTTTTTAAACCAGTTAATAGTTTTTTAAATTTCATTCCATAAAAAAAATCATAAAATTTCAAAATTGCAATTGACCTTGGAAGGCATCTAATGTAACCTTCTAGTTTTAAAATCAATCATATTTCACAGGATTAATAGCCTTATCTTCTGTTGTCCACCTCAGTTTATATGAGGGAGCTACTTTGTAATAAGTTGTTCCCTTGGTATTTCAGAAGTGTTTTTAAGTCCACCCTCCCAGGTCTGTTGTTTAGAACTCAGAGTATTTTTCCATAGAAACAATATTATAAATAGGGGTAGGATTTTAGGACTAACCTTCAAAAGGCATTAGCCCATTATATGATTGAGAGTCAGGGCAGGCTGGTGGTACTGGGGTTTGAACATACGGCCTTGCACTTGCTAGTCAGGCACTCTATTGTTTGAGACATGCCGCTAACCTATGGGACTGAGGTTTTACTTTTGCAGTGCAAAATCTTTTGAGTCATCATAGCTATTTACTTCTGGAGAACTGGGAGGTGAGGCCATTATAGAGGACTATGACAGGGTTCTTTTTATCTTTCATATCTTACAGTAGGTATTGGATGTGGATGTTTTTCACCTATTTTCTGAACTTGTATATGGCTCAATTATTTGATAATTTCAACAATGGTATTTTTGTACTAGAATCTCAGTTTGAGTATAAGTATTCGTGTACATTGAATACTGGTGCTTAAGAGAAAAAAAAGTTTGAGCAGGGAAGGATAAAAAGGGTAGTTAGAAAACCTGGCGCTGATGGCTCATGTCTCATTCAGAAGACTGAGATCTGAGGATCACAGTTCAAAGCCAGCTCAGGCAGGAAAATCAGTGAGATTCTGATCTCCAATTAACTACAAAAAGGCCAGAAATGGTGCAAAGATGCTAGCTTTGAGCACAAAAGCTCAGAACACCCAGGCCCCAAATTCAAGCTGGAGGACTGGTACATGCACACAAGGTAATTGGAAAAGAAAACAAAATGTTGCTGTTTTTGTTTTCTTTTCCTTTTGTCTTATTTGTATTTGGGATAGTGAGGGGACATAGAAAAGGTATAACAAGGGTGAACAAATGTAACAGTGGTACTCACATAAAGGTGGAAAATGAACTGTACATCTTGTGGGTGGGGACAGGAGGGAAAAACAAGGAGAGAATTAGGGAAAGAGCAACATGCTTCAAAAAGAATTGTACTCATTACTCATCACCTACTCATGTAACTGTAACCCCTCTGTATATAGAATATAAACTAAAATAAATAAAAATGAATCCAGTGTATATCCTACAGAATTAAGGGAAGGGTGGTGAGGGAAGGGATGGGTGAGATCATTGAAAGAGATTACATTGGTCAAGATATATTGTATTCATAAGTTGTTAAATGGCAATTGCTTTATACAACTACTTAAGGATGATACAATTTAAATAAAAATAATTGGAAATTCTGGACAAGTTTTATAAGGGACTTTCATAGGCTTTGCTTTGATGTCTTTATTTTGTGAAATACTACTTCAGAATATATGTCTTGTGCTTTATTTACATTTTGTTAAGTTTCAACTAAGTGAATCACCAAGTCTTTCATCCAAAAGCCAAATAAATGTAGGTATGGTTTTGTGAAAGGAAAAAAAAAAGTTTTTTTATTTTTATTTTTTTTTCGGTTGTGGAGCTTGATTCAGGGCCTGGGGCACTACCCTTGAGCTCTTTTGCTCAAGGCTAGTTGCTCTACTACTTTGAGCCACAACTCCACTTCCAGTTTTTGAGTGGTTACTTGTAGATAGCAGTCTCAAGTGGACTTTTCTGTGGGATCTGGCTTCAGACTGGGATCCTCAGATCTCAGCCTCCTGAGTAGGTTAGGATTACAGGCATGAGTCACCAGTGCCCAGCTGGACAAGTTTTAACAGGTAAAGAAGTATGAATTACACGTGTATGTGCAAATATTGGCAAGATCTTGCTTTGATGTGCAGTTATATGAATTAGGGGCTTGGGAAAAAAGAAGCAAATGATGAAGTAAAGCTTGTGCAAGGTCTGAATATGGAGAAGGGCAGGGAGGAACGCAGTGGGATTAAGCACTGACATCACTGACAGTGATTGGCTTGATTACTGTGGTGAAAAGATTTGCAAACAAGTTTGGACTTGGCAGAATAGTGTGCATACAACCAATGGTATTTTTTTCTAATAAAACTAATGCTAAATATACACACACAGAATCATCTGTTGATGGCATTTTAGAAAACAACTGAGGCAATTTTCTCAATAATTTAAGTACTTTTTGTTTATGGTAGTTGTTCTTTGTTGCTCTTTAGTTTTTTTTTTTTTTTTGCT